CCTCAGCCTCCCAAAGGCGTGGGATTACAGGCTGAGCCACCGAGCCCGGCTTCTCATCTCTTTTTTAAAAAAATTTAAAAAAGAAATTGCAGCCTTAAGAAAAAGACAGCTCTGTGGTTCAGCCTGTAATCCCAGCACTTTGGGAGGCCGAGGCAAGTAGATTGCCTGAGGCCACAGATTCGAGACCAGCCTGGACAACTTGGCGAGTCCTCGTCTCTACAATAAATAAAAAATTAGTTGGGTGTGGTGGCATGCACCTGTAGTTCTGGCTACTTGGAAAACTGAAGCAGAAGGATTTCTGGAGCCCAGCAGGTCGACACTGGGGTGGCCGTGAGTGTGCCACTGACTCCAGCCTGGGCAATGGCATGAGACGCCAACTCAATAATAATAATAATAATTAATAAATTAAGCAGGAGTTTAAAAAAAAGAAAAAGACAGATTGGTCTTATAATATGTGAGGCAGTGCTCCAGAACATTCATTCATGATATATTAGAGCTCTTAGTCTGGAGGAACTGCCTGAGCTGACCATAAGCAGGATAGAAAGGAGAAACATGGTAAGTATGCTAATGTATTGCAGCCCATCCTTTACCTGTTGGGGAACAAAAAGGAAAGAATGAATATAGCATGCCAAAAAAAAAGAAAGAAAATGAACTCAGTCTGGAAGAAATATACACCGAGGTGGAGAGACAGAGTACCTGTAAATAGTTTGTATGTGAAAAATAATGTATTAAAAAAATAGAATAAAATGAAAAGGAATGTTGCAGAATTGTAAGAAATCACTACAAACCAGATCTCTCCATTATAAACTCATAAATGCAAACAGCAAGGAGCAGAACGAAGATGATATCAAAAGAAGCGAATGTAATTAAGAGCTAAAGCATTGGAGAGAAGATATAGATGTGGAAGACAGAGATGGCTTAGCACAAGGATAAGTGTGCCCATTATGGAAAGACTCCAACAATGAAACAGGAGTAGCAACCAACCCAATATCAAATAGAGAACAATTTCTCTGAATTGTAAAACCTACATCTGCAGATTGAAAGTATATAGTTTTGTTTTTGTTTTGTTTTTTTTTGAGTTGGAGTCTCACTCTGTCGCCCAGACTGGAGTGCAGTGGCTGCTTCCGGCCACCGCAGCCTCGACCTGCTGGACTCCGGCGATCCTTCCACCTCAGCCTTCCAAGTAACTGGAACTACAGGCACGCGCTACCACGCCCGGCTGATTTTTTGATGTATTGTAGAGATGAGATCTCGCCAAGTTGCCCAGGCGGGTCTCGAACCCGCGGGCTCAGGCAATCCACTCACCTCTGCCTCCCAAAGTGCTGGGATTACAGGCTGAGCCACCGAGCCCGGCTGAAAGTATATAGTTTATACCAAGAAAAACATATACAGCAATCTACATTCAACATAAGATAGATTATTTAGGTCTCTAAACTGAATAAGCAATTTATCTTCCTTCATGGATTTAAAAAATGAGGCTCATTTCTATTTTTCTCATATCAGCATTCAGTGCTGTTGGGGTGATATCTATAAATCTATCCAGTTCTCAAGGAAAGAACATGTGACCTAAGACATCTAGCCAAGTTGTTTATAATATAGAAGTAACAGACATTTACAAGCAGGGATTCCAGCTCCCATGAGCTCTTCTTCAAAACCCTTCTAATGGATGAAGTCAGTAAACCAACATGAGTCAGAATGGAAAAGCCATGGGACAGAATTTGTGGTGAGCACCTAATCCATTTTAAATTGGAATTGAGAGAAAGCAACTGGACTAATTATGGTTACAGAAAAGAATGAAAATATAAACCTCAAATCTTTATAAATATATGCAACAAAATTGAGACATAGGGAGAAAGGAGGTGTTACAAAGCTAATTACAGATCTTGTATAAGAATATCAAATGAAAATGGAAACTAATTTAAAAGATCTTTAACTGGAATAGTTTGAACTTCTTAATGATTTTCTGACCCCTTCTTAATTTTTTTCTAACTCATTTCTTATACTTTTTTGACTGGGACTGATCCATGGCATAAAGTACAAAACAAAACAAAAATTGTTTCTACAGGGGGTGATGCCTTCTGGTATTTTCTATTCTGGTATATTCTGTCCTAATCTACTCTAAAAACACTAGTCAGTAATGGTTTATGGCCCAGAATTATAAAAATACTGAGGGATCTTTAAGGAACAAATAATAGTTCTAGTGGTAAACAGTTGAAATTCTGTAGTTCATTTTTCTTCTGTTTTACTTTTTCTTCTGTAATATTCAGATAGATGTAAATACAGTTAAGAAGTGATATGTGTAGTGTGGATTCCATTGTTACAGATTATTTCCCTCTCTTTTTCAAAATGCCTTATATATGCACAGAAGGATGCTTCAAGTGATGTTTACCGGATGTCAGCATCAGTTCTCTGGGGGCTGGTATTTTGGTGGATGAAGTGTTCCTTCATATTTTCCTGTAGGTTTGAATTGTTTTTTGATAAGCATATATTTCTTTGGTAAAGCTAGTCATTACATTAAAAGATTTTTTAAAAAACAGAAGAAAATCTGTGGCCATGTCAATAAAGACAGAAAAGCTTCCAAAGAAAAGACTGAGACTTGCAGTTCATGTGTAGTTGTACATTTTCCATGCTAACTGCATCTGTTGGTCTGGGCTTTCCCCAGGGATGTCAGAGACGCCCATGCTCCCATCCTCCCTCATGCTGCTCAACACAGCCCATGAGTATTTGGGCAGGAGGTCCTGGTGCTGCAATTCAGATGGGGCTCTTCTTCGATTCTATGTGAGTGCTTTCCACTGGGCCCAGGGGCTACCAGCGCAAGGCTGGAGTGGGAGGTGGGGTGTGAAGGAGGACAGAGCAGTGTTGGCACCTTTGGGCTTACTTGGCCTTCCTTCTGCTGCGGGGTCCACTGTGCAAGTCTGTAACTACTGAAAGTTGCCAGAAAGTCTGAATTTGGTCCTCTTGTACAACTGGGACTCAGGGAGCTCTGGACCTGGCATTGAACAGTAGGTGGATTTAGATCCACTAGTCATTACTGTGTCTAGTTCTAGTTAGACACAGAGCTAGGCCCTGTATCAGTAATTGTATTGATTTGTTTTATTTGATCAAGGTCTCACTCTGTAGCCTAGACTGGAGGGCCATGGCACGATCATGGATCACTGCAGCCTTGAATTCCTATGATCCTCAAATGATCCTCCCTCCTCAGCCTCCTAAGTAGCTGGGACTATAGGTGCATGCCACCTTGCCCAGCTATTTTATTTTTTTATATTTTGTAGAGACAAGGCCTCACTGTGTTGCTCAGGCTAGTCTCAAACTCCTAGGTTCTAGCAATCCTCCTGCCTTGGCCTCCCTAAGTGCTAGGATTACAGGCATGAACCCCTACACCCAGCCTGTATTAATAATTTTAGAAGAAACAGCCACATTTACCACCACCACCTCCTACTGAGTCCTGTTTGCCAAGCACCACCCATCATGTCAGACAGTAGTTGCTCAATCAGTAGCTATTACATTCATTCAGTCATTAAATGATTAGGGAGCACAAATAGGCTTTCTCGCATTTGCCAACTGTGATTAACTGATAGTAGCTCCCTGGGCTTACCAGGGTAGGGATAAGCTACACAAACCCTGTCCCCAAACCTCACTGTTGAGTGGGGCAAGTTACTGAGCACCAGGTTCTAGATGTACCAAGAAAGGGTTTCTAACCCAACCTGTAACATCTATTCATAATTTTGTTGGGCCGGAGCCTTGCCCATTTATTTACATATTAACATGGCTGTCTTTGCAGTACAGTGACAGAGTTGAGTAGCTATGATAGAGTTTGTATGGCCTACAAAGCCCAAAATATTTGCTCTCTGATTCTTTAAGAGAAAGCTTGCTTATTTTCTAGCATACCGGATAATTTCCTCCTCTGTTATGTTTATTATGTCTCTTTTCCAGTGAAGTGTAACTTCTGAAATAGTAGGGGTTTTGTTAGTTTTGTTCACTTCTGGATGCAAGTACCTAGTATGCCTGGCACATAGTAGGTGCTTAATAAACATGTATAGAGCTTGTGTGTATAAAGCTTGACAGTTTGCAAAGCATGTATGCTGAGGACATGGAGATTTGGCAAGGAGACCCATCTGGCCCAGGGCCCTGGAGCTGATTAGTGTCTGAGGTGAATTCTAGCCTCAGCTCCAGATACCTGAGTGTCTTCTCCTCCCTGTGAGCTCCAAGGCCCTCCAGGATGCTTCCCCTGGATCATCTCTACCCCCAGGACCATTTTTGGAAGTGTTGTGGCAGGCTGAGTCTGTATTGCTGTACAGAAATCAGCCTCTCCCTTTTTCTGCCTTCTCTCTGCCAATCCAAGTGTGCAAGGAGACTGCTTCTACAAGGCTGTACCTCTTATGCTGATTGGGAAAAATGTGTTAGCACCTTTGTAGGCTGGTTTAGGCAGGAGTGGTGCTGAGAAAAAAGGGTAGGCTGAAGGGGCGTTGGGGTGGTCCTATGCCCAGTTTTTCTTAGTCTACATCTTTTTTTGGTGGAGCATAAATTCTAGGTGTCAGTATCTGCCAATTGAATTTGAGGGAGTAGAAGTGCTATGAATACCCTTGTGTTTCATTTTATAGTTCCTGATTTTCTTGCTCAAGGCCCAGCCCTTGCTACCAGTCTCCTGACCACTCCTGTGCCTTCTGCCTGCCACACTCTCAGATTTTACATGACTACTTGTTCTTTCCTTCCTGCCTTTTCATAGAGGCCTTCCTCAGCCCCACTTCTATTTCTGTCTATTGCTGGGGACCCCCACTGTTTTATCTCTTTCATGTGTCCGTCCCCTACCAGATAGCATCCCTGAGACCAGAGACCTTTTCTGTCTTGCTATCTGAAGCATCCTTAGGGCCCTGAGCAGTGTCTGACATAGAGTACTTCCCCATTGATAATTCTTGAATAATGAATGAACAGACAAAAACATTCATTCATTTTATCCAGAGATACTTGCTGAGCACACACCATTCTAGGTGCTAAGAGGGTTATGATGGTGAATACTTTTTGTTGTTGTTTGTTTTCCTTGAGTTAGAGTCTCACTCTGTCGCCCAGACTGGAGTGCAGAGCCACGCTCCGGCCACCACAGCCTCACTGCAGCCTTGATCTCCTGGGCTCAGGTGATCCTTCCACCTCAGCCTCCCAAGTAACTGGGACCACAGATGTATACCACCACACCTAGTTAATTTTTCTCTCCCCCCTCCCCCATGCTCTTGGCCAAGGGTCAGCAAAACTCTTCTGTAAAGAGACAGATAGTAAGTCTTTTGGGCCCAAGGGTCTCTGTTGTAACTACTCTGGACTTCCATTGTCTGCAAAAGCAAGCACAGATAGCATATAAATCTATACTATAATAATATAGGCTATGTTCCAGCAAAACTCTAGACACTAAAATTTATCACTTTTTTTTTTTGACTTTTTTCAGTTATTTAAAAATGCAAACACCATTCTTAACTCCAGGCCTAGAAAACAGACAATGGCAGGATTTGACCCATAGGCCATTGTTTGTACCCATAGTTTAGAGCTGTCTCTCTTTTTGTTAATTTTAAACTGCTGACTTTGTTTCTTTAGTGATTAGGGTGATTAGGGGCCCATTTAGACTTTTCTCTCTCTCTCTTTCTCTCTCTCTTTTTTTTTTTTTAGAAAGCAGGATTTATTGAGAGGACAGAAAAGCTCCCACCGTGGGAGGGGACCTGAAAGGGTTGCCCTTGCCCTAGACTTTCTCTTTTCAAGCCAGTTATGTTTTGGGGGCAGTGACCACTTACTCTAGCATAAAGCTACTTATGAATTTTGCTTACAATTTTTAAAAGTTTTTTGTGGTACCTCTAGTTATGCCCGTTTTTTTTCATTGCTTGTTTTTTTCTTTTTTTGTTTTCTTTGAATTGAGTCTTACTCTTTCTCCCAGGCTAGAGTGTAGTGGAACACTCACGGCCACCACAGCCTCGACCTGCTGGGCTAAGGCGATCCTTCTGCCTCAGCCTTCAAAGTAACTGGAACTACAGATGTATGCCACCGTGCCTGGCTAATTTTTTTATTTATTGTAGAGACAAGGTCTCTTCAAGTTGCCCAGGCTGGTCTTAAACCCGTGGACTCAGGCAATCCTCTTACCTTGGCCTCCCAAAGTGCTGGGATTACAGGCTTGAGTCACTGCGCCCAGCCAGTTTTCACTGCTAAAATTGTTTATTTGTGCTTTCTCTTTCCCCTTTTTAAAGGCCAGTCTTTCCTGAGATTTGTCCAAAATTAGTCTTTTCAAACTACTAGCTATTGGTGTATTAGTTCTGTTGTTTGCTTTCTAGTTCATCAGTTGCCACTTTAATATTGCTTTTGTTTTCTTTGAATTTACTGTGTTATTTCTAACTTACTGGATTGAATGCTTATTTCAATAGTCATTCTTCTAATACATGTATTGAAGACTACAAATTTTCCCCAAATACATTCTTAGCTGCATCCCATAAGTTTTGATATTTGGTGTTTGCTATTTTTATGTAATTGATTTCTAATTTTGTTGAATTATGTTCAGAGGATGTGGTATATGTTATATCTAGCCTTTAGTCTTTGTTGACTTGCTTTCCATCAGTGTGGTAAAAATGCTGTAGATGCTTGTGAAGAATGTATATTTGCTAGTAATTGGGCACGATAGCCATGGTATTACCTTCCTATAGATATACTAATTTACTGTGTTTTTCACATGCCTTGTGATCCTAACTAATGTTTTGTCTGAGAGAGATTTTCTCAGCCCTGATGAAATTTTTCATCGTATATTTTAATTATCTGTTTATAAATATTTGTTTAATTAATTTCATTCCCTCCTTTGGAATCTGTACTTCTTAAAAGCTGGGACTGAATCACACTGTGCCTATATGAGAAGGTACTCAGTAAATATTCACTGAGCAAATGAAAGGCTAAATAATGAAAAAGTCACCAGGAGGAATATAATATCTTTTTCTAGTGGCTGGTAGAAACAGGCTAGGTGTGCTGGAAGGTAAGCAGCTTGGCAGACCCATCAGGAGACTGCTGCTGTGCCCAGAGCTGGGCCTAGAATAATTCCCATTAGGAGAACAAGTTTTTTTTTCCAGGAAATGGGTCTTTTTGGAATCAAGTTGTGCAGGAGCCCAACAAATATAACCTTAGGGTAAGAGAGTTGATAAAGTGGTGGTCTCCTCGTAGCCTGCTAAGATAGGAGGGTTGTGTCTGTAGGTCCTTTGCTCAGGCATCACTTCTGCCCACTGTAGGTACGCGTTCTCCAAAAGGAGCTTGCTGCATCCACCTCGGAAGACATGCACCCATATAAGGAGGAGCTGGAGACAGCCTTGGAGCAGTGCTTCTACTGCCTATACAGCTTCCCCAGCAAGAAGAGCAAGGCCAGGTACCTGGAGGAGCACTCAGCCCAGCAGGTGAGGGTACCTTAACAGGCCAGAGAAGGAGTGGGCTGTGGGAGCTCTGAGCTCTCCTGATCAGTGTCAGATTTGTCAACACTTTCCTCTGCAGTCCCAGCTGGAGTTGTATCAGGAGTGAGAAGACAGTCAAACGTAGTCTGAGCAAAAGACAAGGGTTTTCCTTGTAAAGACTTAGCCTCATAAATGTTGACTAATCATTAAAAAATGTACCATGGCAATTGTCAATAGATTTATTTCTAATTTAAATAATATGAATAATTCTCTAGAGGTTTTTCATTTTGTTGTTGTGTTGTTTCAGTTTTCAGAGCGCTGTTGGGCATATTATATTTTGACTCCTCAGTACTGTCAGTGATTCTCTGATCTTAGGGATTTCATCCTCTATAATGTAAGCTCCTTAGGACAGGACCTCTGCTATGACCCTGCATCTAGGGCCACCCTGGTCTGGAGTCAGCACTCATTTAGTATTTGTCAACCAAGTGACCATGGGGAAAGTTGAGGCATGGAGAAAAGTAGCTGGCAGAAGGTTCTCACCAGTGATTGAGCCCACTGTCTGGCTCAGCCACAGGGCTCACAGCACACAGCCCTCAGTTTCCAACATTGTCTTTATAAAGGCCAGGCTTATGCTCTTCAGATACTTGGATTTGGAGACTGCAATGGGCATGCAGATTTTAAAAAGTATAATGGAGACTTGTTTTAGGCTTTCCAACATATTGTAACCTTGTGAACATCAGATACTGTGTATTTCTATAAAGAAATCTTTTCTTTTTCATTGACCTTGAATGTACTGTTAATCTGCCTTTTGTCTTTTTTTCAAGGTGGATCTTATATGGGAGGATGCCCTGTTTATGTTCGAGTATTTCAAGCCTAAGACTCTTCCTGAATTTGACAGCTACAAGACCAGCACTGTGTCTGCTGATTTGGCCAACCTCCTAAAGAGAATCGCCACCATCGTGCCCCGCACAGAAAGGCCAGCATTGAGCCTGGACAAAGTCTCTGCCTACATTGAAGGAACCTCGACTGAGGTGGGCCCTGATAAACATGAGGAGGTGGGGTGATAAGACTGGGTCAAATCCTTCCCCTCCAGCACTGCTGCATATGCTCCTTTGCTTCTTTCTTTGCTGTACACCAGACATTAGGGCCAGGAGAAGCCAGAGAGTCTGTTTTATGTTGGTGTGACCATACAGTCCTGGTCATATTTGAGTCCTTGACTCCACCTTCCTTCATATTTACCCTCTCATCTGCCAGGTGCCCTGCCTCCCAGAAGGGGCTGACCCCTCCCCTCCAGTGGTGAATGAGCTCTACTACCTCCTGGCTGATTATCATTTCAAAAACAAGGAGCAGTCTAAGGCCATCAAGTTCTACATGCATGATATCTGCATCTGTCCCAACAGGTCAGTGACAGGGGTGTGGGACAATGGGGACTGCAGAGACAGCCGGGGTGGCTCCAGCTCAGCAAGCTCCTTAGTGGGCCATTTTGGGGTTTCCCTGCCTCTAGCAAGGAGATGGGGGAAAAGGAATAAGGTGGTTTAACACTCTGAACTTATTAGAAAAGGCAAGGTCTCCATAAAAAGAAGAGCAGGGGAGAAGCCTTCTTTTCCAAAGACCCCTGGGAGAGGTATTGGGGTCAGAGAAGGTACAAGGTGTCCATCTGGGCCCTGGTGTATGGGGCAAGGAGGTATGGTCTGGCTCCATCCTGTTGGTTTTGTGGTGCCTCCTCTCCTGGCCTCAGGACCCAGTAAGTTGGATGATTTATACTCATGCTACTTCCACTGCAACTTAATTATGGTTGCTTTCTTATGGGGGTGGGGGTGGAGGACTAGTAATATAAAAACTCAAGCTGGAGTTCTCCCTTGCTCTGATATACTGCATTGTTGGCAGTAGACTGTTACAATGGTACATGTAGGAAAGCCCGTGAGAGTACATGGAATGCGTACTTTCTTCCTATGGAACCCTGCTTGGTTTGCTCTTGAAATACAGTGATTGGCCTAAGTGTCCTGAATAGCCCTGTTACACTTATGAAGTCTGATGCACTTGATTAAGAGGGAATATTTTATCATAACCATGGTGGTAAGCCTTGGGTCAGAGTCAAAATGAGGCCACCCTCTGTGGCTGACCTGCATCTGAAGAGTTCAGAATAGCATCTATAGGCATGTAAAACTTTTAGAAGTATCCAAGGGTCAGCCTATGGTGGCCTCCCTCACTCAGGGGAAACCATAATATTCTACTTTATCAGGATAAGGGGAGAAGGTGCTAGGTTCTGAGTGGAGAAGCCAATTTGCAAGACTTGTGTAGCTTGTGGGAAACGTTCTCACAAACTTCCTCTTGCTCAGCCTGTGATTTTCTCCAGGCAGGGAGTTGTGTGGCAGAACCCTGGCTGTCCTTTTGGGGTAGGGTGGGAGGCATTGTCCAGTGCTAAGGCTGAATGAGTGCTCACTGTACTACACAATGGGAGGTTATGTCCTCCGCACCACTGCTTGCACATCTGAAAAGTGAAGCCAGTAAAACAGGGCACTGGGCATCTGGCATGGCATGTCACTCGCTATTCCCTGTCTGTGAAATGAGGATCATGGCAGCTCAACTAGGCCTTCCTCTGACCTGTATACTTGCCTGTTCAGAGGGTATCAACTGGTCAGGACTGGCCCACTGGCAGCTCTGCTGCAAAGGAGAGATCTCCTGTGAGGACTGGCCCCAGAGCCAGGAAGGCACTTAGTGGCTTGGTCCTGGTCTCCAGTCCTTGGTCGCCTTCATTCTCTGTCATTGCTCTGACAGGCAGACACCAGGCAAGACTTGGACTTAGCCTAGTCTTCTATGCTAGCAGTGGGTTAAGGATTGTTGGCATATAGGATGGTAGCATCTGCCCTTCTGATTGCTACCTTTTCTGTTCTGTGTACTAACATTCAGTATTCCCAGACTCTCTCAGGTAACCAGAAATCATATTGGTCTTGGTCTCTCTGCCCCTTCGTCCTCAGACAGGTTTATGTGTTCTCACTATCAGTTTCTTTCAGGTGACCTCAAAATGGTAGGATCTCAACCATCATGTGGTTCCTTGCCCTTCAGTTTACAACTAGGAACTGAGCTGGAAAGGGCAGGGTCTGCTCAGGGTGCCAGAGGGAAAACAGGATAGAAGCTAGGTGGCTGGGGTCCTAGAGTCTCGACTGCCCATGCTTCTGGTCAGCCAGTGTGCTGAGGGGCAGGCTCTGCCAGCACAGGTGTAGGTGAAGTCACGTCTGGCTGCGAGTCTTCCTGGCGCCTCAGCTGAGCTACTGCTGCAGTGCCTTATAGAGCACCCCTTTTCCTTTCCACCAGAGCCATTCCATGGGTAACCCCTCAAAACATGGGAGCAGAGTAGTCCAAGAGCCCATTAGAGCAGTTACTGAATACCTGTGAGGTGCTGAATGACTTAAAATACATTCTGTCATATAGTGTCTGCAGCTCTTCTCTTGAGATAGATCTTAGCCATATGTCATGGGTTAGGGACCAAGGCTCAGAGGCATGGCTGGTCCAGGTGACATCAGCAAGTGGCAGAGCTGGCTCTGGTATGAGAGGTGAGCTTCTACAATGTCTGTGTGCAGGCTGTCATGTCTGCCATGCTGTCAGAGCAGTGGTGTGTTTAGCTGGTGCTTTTGTCACCACCACAGGTTTGATTCCTGGGCAGGCATGGCCCTGGCCCGGGCCAGTCGCATTCAGGACAAGCTGAACTCCAATGAACTGAAGAGTGATGGGCCCATTTGGAAACATGCCACGCCTGTTCTGAACTGCTTCCGGCGGGCCCTGGAGATTGACAGCTCCAACCTATCCCTGTGGATTGAGTATGGCACCATGTCCTATGCCTTGCACTCATTTGCCTCGCGCCAGCTGAAGCAGTGGAGATCTGAGCTGCCTCCTGAGCTCGTGCAGCAGGTGAGGAGGGGTGCTGCACACGGGCCTGCCATACTTCTGTCCAAACAGTGTTTCGGATCAGCGAGGCTCTTTTCCATTTGCTCTGTATTCTTATCCTCAGGTCAGTAATGTTGTCTCGTTCTTTGTTCTTGTTCTCACATCCATGCTGGGATCTCACAGATGGCTCTCCCCATGAAACTCAAACTGTACTGTGGCCACTGACAGCTTGATCCTTGCTCTTTGGATACCCAGTCCAGTGCAGACAAGTTCAGGGACAGGCTATTGGGACCCAACTGGTAGCCATTAGTTACAGTGGGTTAAGTAGGGGAGGTGTATTGGTCACCAGCAGTAGCTGTCTCTTTCCTGTTCCCTCAAAGGAACTTGTCAGGCCTTGTAAAATTCTTGACCTTGGGTTGGGATTTTTGAAGTTCCTCTTGGAGGGGGATTCCTCCATTATAGAATGCTGGGTCTGGCCCAAGGTCTTCACTCAGCAGGGTACCCTTGGCTTCTTGAGATGGAAGCAAAGGAGCCATACTGACATATTTAGGCTAGCACAGCAGTAAGACACCATGGCCTAGAAAGGTCACCTAGGAGAGCAGAGCACTGTAGGGACCTGCTGGTCAGGTGGATGGCTCTGGGCCTCAAGTTTTGCAATGACCATCTGTGATCAAAACCCAAAACAAGATGGTGGCATTGTTAACACTGTCATGAATTAGTTGAGAAGACCAAATGAGATTCTCAGCCCACAGTTATGCTGCTGTTATCCTCTGAAAGCCCATCTGTCCTTGAGGATGATCTTCTGTCATCATACCCAAGGCCCCACTGCTCCCTGAGACCCTGCAGAGCTCCCTGAGACCGGCTCCCAGAGCCCCTAAACTCTTCCTTGGTCTCACGATGCTGTTGCCCTCTTAGCATGGAGGTAAATAGTGGGAAACCCGGCCCTGTTCAAAGAGGTAACAACTCTTTATTGCTTTTTCTTATAAAAGTGATGTGTGCTTAGTGTAAAAAGTCAAATGCTATTAGAAAGTATGAAGAAGAATATAACAGTGACATAAACTTCACCTCCACTTTTATAATCTGGGTGACATTCCTGGTCACCAACACAATCATAAAAGGAAAGGTTGCTGTTTGAGGGTAGTCAACACTAGAAAGAGTCATAAAGTGAATATATTCAAAATGAAGATGCATGATTAAAGAGAACAGTCAATAAAAGGTGTGATTGGGACTTTATCTTGAAAAAGAGTAAGAGTAACGAAAATAATTTATAAATCCTATATTACTAGGTCTTTGGTGACAGTTGCAACTATGTTCAAATCCTTCAAATGAACAAAGAATGTTTAAGTTAGGTTGGTTTGGGGGAGCTTAATTTTCCATGATTTATGGTAATGTGATATGATGTTCTTCACTTTTGCAGTATGAAAGGTTAAAGGGTTATTTTTGCAAAGATAATTGAAGGCTGCATCTCTTCCTCTAGATTCTCTGAATTTTTTGTGTCGGTAAAGAGCATGTGTTTTCTTCCTTGGCCAGTTTACTTTCCTTTCTTGGGCTGTTGTGAACCACATTAATTATGCCTGGCCCTCGTGTGTAAATGCTTGACCTGTGGCTTGGGCAGTTTCCTAGCACTGTTTTCATCAACTTCACGAAGTCTCACATCTTATGCAGGATTTGCAGTTTCATTTTGCAATAGATTTTCATTATACTATCAGGCTAGATCTGAAAATCACCTAGAGGCTGACTAAAAAATGAATGAAAAGGTCTGAAGGGAAATAGCTGGGCAGGGGTAGGCCTCAGTGAAAATGCTGGATGGCAAGCGGTGTCACTGCCCACTTGCATGGCAAGCTCATACAGTGAGAGTTTCCATGCCGTGCTGGCTGCCATTGCTTTTGTGACCCTTCCCTGCATCAACAGCTATGGGACCTCTCAGATTTTTCATACTTGATTAGGACAAGCCAGGACTCTGAATCTCACAATGGGTTCAAAGTCTTATCCAGTGGCCTTGCTATCTTTCCATGAGCTTTGGGCATCACCACCCTTGAGCCCAGGATGGTTGTCTCAGGGTTCCATGCTTAACACCTGGCTCCAAGCATTTCCTCAGATTGCATGAACCCCTCAGGTTAGTGAGGACAGTGGTTCTTATGCCTGATTGGGCAACACCTCTTGGAGGTGGGGTTGTGCAGGTAATTGGGGTGGTTTAGATACAGCATCCTGGGGACAGACCTGGTACCAGTGGGAGGACAAAGATGGAGGGAGTAGCCACTGGGGCCCCTCTTTACTACTGACAAAAGGCAGGCACCAAGCGCTGAGACAGGCCACTCCCCGGAAAAGAACGAGGGAGAGAAGTGCTAGCACAGCCTTTAATACTACCTCCTTTTAAAAATTCCTCTTAGCTGGGCTCGGTGGCTCAGCCTGTAATCCCGCGCCTTTGGGAGGCTGAGGTGAGTGGATTGCCTGAGCTTGCGGATTCGAGACCTGCCTGGGCAGCGAGACCTCATCTCTACAATAAATCAAAAAATCAACTGGGCGTGGTAGCACATGCCTGCAATTCCGGCTACTTGGAAGGCTGAGGCGGAAGGATCACCGGAGCCCAGCAGGTTGAGGCTGCGGTGGCCGGGAGCGGCCACTGCACTCCAGTCTGGGCGACAGAGTGAGACTCTGACTCAAAAAAAAAAAAAAAACTCCCCTTAAATCATACTAGGGACATAGACTTCTTGAAATCAATTGCAGTATTAAGGGCAAAGCTCAAATTCCTCTGGCTGCTCCCTTCCTCAGCAGGACCTACAATTAGGTGTCTATCTTTCCAGACTTAAAAAGACACAAAAAAACCTTTTCATACATATATATGTACTCCTAGGAAAAAAACCCATGATTTATCTGTTCGTTTTTTTGCTTTTAACCTAAATGCTGTCACACTGTAAATGGTGTTCACTTCCTTTTTCACTCAGCACCATGTTGTTGAACTCCATCCATGTGAATTCCCATGGATCTAGTACATTCCTTTTAACTGCTGTAACCCTATTTTATTGCAACTGTCCTGTGCAGAAGCCACCTTGCTGGGTTCTATTTGTGTTGCAGTGGACCCAGAGCCAGGCAGACTGGGGAAAGAAGCTGCTGACCTGGGGTGCAGCGCTTGACTCCGAGGAGGCCTTCCCTGTAACCCTAGGAGCAACATTGTCCCATGCAGTGGCTCAGTGGGGTAGCCTGAGCATGGCCCCTGGGATTTTCTCCCTTATCTCTCTCATCAGTGATGCCAAATGGGATTTAGCAGAGTGGGAGTTTTCCAGGAAATAAAGAGGATGAAAAGTCAGATTTTTCTTTCTGCCATTGACATTTGTAGACCTTTGTCCCCAGGAAGGGGGCAGGGAAAGAAGGGAGTGAGTGGGTGAGGAGATGCAGCTTGACTTTCCACACCTTTTCCCCTTGTCTTATTTCCTTTACTAAAGCTCATCGCCTTTGGGGCTGAACTCAGTGTAGATCTAGTGGAAGTTATTGGCTCAGATAGCTCAGGTCCTGAAACTGAGCTCTCAGGCTAGTTCTCTGGAGTGTTAGTGTGGCAGGAGAGATAAGGAAATCCACCAGGTGTGCTAGTGTCCCCACAGGGAGGCCGGGAAAGAGGGAGGAAGGTTTTGCATAGTTGCCCAGGGTAAAAGCTGCCTTGCGGGGCTGCCATGTGCTTCCTAGGTTCTTTCCTCTTGTAGGGAGATAGTTTCTGATCCCCAAAATGTGTCATGGAGACGCAGTCCCCCAGTTGCTAAAGCTTTAAAGCCATCTGGATTTTGTTTGATTGGGATGGGCTGTAAGACACATATTGACGACTGTTTGAGCTGCTGGATTCTTTAACTTCTGCCTACAAACTTGCCAAAAGTGGTGTTATAGGAAAACAAGTTTCCATGATGTCAATTTTCTGGCAAGATGGGTGGAGTGGCTCACACCTGTAATCCCAGCACTTTGGGAGGCCAAGGTGGGAGGATTGCTTGAGCCCAGGAGTTTGAGATCAGCCTGGGCAACATAGCATGACTTGGTCTCTACAAAAAAATTAAAAAGTTAGCCAGGTGTGATGGTACGTACCTGTAATCCAAACTACTCGGGAGGCTGAGGAGGAAGGGAGGTCAAGACTGTGGTGAGCTGTAATCATGCAACTGTACTCCAGCCTGAGTGACAGAGTGAAACTTCAACTCTAATAATAATGATAATAATATCATTATTATTCCAGCAAGACGAAAGGCTACGAAGCCAGAACTTTCTAACTGTGTGGCCTGGAGACAGCAACCTGACATTCATGTTGTGGTTCATTCTCCAAGGCAGTATTGTGAGGATTCAGTGGTCCTTCAACTATCTCCTGAGCCCTTCTCATGGGTACCCCACGTGCGAGGTGGATAAGGTGCCTGTCCACTCTGAGGATGGTGAGGCAGTGTGAGGATGTCTAGTAGAGTATCTGAAACACAGCAGTCCTTCAGTGACTGTCCTCCTGTCCTGACTGCCACACCTGCCAAGGACAAGGATATTGGCGGTGTGCCCTGTATGTAGGGGGTAGGGGCTCAGCCTGTTGCTGAGGATCTGCATAATGCCACATGCCAGCCCAGATGAGGCTCTTCACAGCCACTGTTTCTTTCTTGACAAGTTGGCTGTCACAGTACCTGTGGCAGAGCTGGGTGGGCAGTGGGGCTTGCTTGGTCACACAACTGTAAAGCAGTTCACATAGGACTCCATCTCAGCAGCTTTTTTTTTTTTTTTTTTTTAATAAGTAGCCCTTTTATTTGTCGTCACTGAGGCAATCTGTTGGCAAAGTGTGCATGTGAACGGTCTGACAGATCTGGGACTCTGACAGGCTGCCATGAACAACTCGGGTATCTCAGCAGCTTTTTAAAAAATTAACCAATTTTTGAGTTGTGGAGTACAAGTAAGAATTTACTACATAAACAGGCTGCGTGCAGGTAAAGTTTGGACTTCAGCTGGCCCTCACTCCCCCAATAGGACCAGGTATCCATTGTGTTGTCATGTGCTCCCCTCCATCCGCTACCAGTGCTCAGCAACTGCTGCTCTCACATTTGTACTGTGACTAGTATTCAGGACCTGCTTTTGAGTAAGAACATGCTGTATTCATTATTTGTTTCTAAGATAGTTCACTTAGTATGATGGTCTCCAGTTGCATCCAAGTTGCTGCAAAGGTCATTACTTTGTTTTCCCTTATGGCTGTGTAATATTCCATTGTGTATATGTAGCACATTTTCTTTTTCAGTTCACTTTCGATGGGCAACAGAGTTGGTTCCATGTTTTTGCTATTGTAAATAGAGCAACAATAAGCGTGTATACAGGTGTCTTATTGGTAGAGTGATTTATGTTCCTTAGGTATATTCCCAGGAGAGGGATTGCTGGATCATATGGAAGATCAATTTTCAGTTATTTTAGAAATTGCCACACTGCTTTCCATAGAGGTTGAACTAGCTGACATTCCCACCAACGGTGGAGAAGCATTCCCTTTTCTCCACAGCTGCACCAGCTCCTGTTGTTTTTTGACTTATTAATGATAGCTATCTTTACTGGAGTTAGGTGGTATTTCATCATAGTTTTGATTTACATTTCACTGATGATTAGTGAGGCTGAACATTTTTTTCATGGTATCTGTTGACTGTTTGTCATGCTTTGAGAAGTGTCTGTTCATGTCCTTTGCCCACTTTAATGAGCCTGTTTGTATTTTTCCTTTGAGTTCGTTTGAGTTCCTTGTAGATTCTGGATATTAGGCCTTTGTCAGATGGATAGCTTGCAGATACTTTTTCCCCTTCTGTGGATTGTCTCTTTAAATCTCTTGATGGTCTCTTTTGCTGTGCAAAAGCTTTTCAGTTTGATGAGGCCCCACCTGTCTATCTTAACTTTTGCAGTATTTGTTTTTGAGACTTGGTCATGAATTCACTGCCTACTCCGATGTCCAGAAGGGTGTTTTCTGTGTTCTCTTCTAGGCTTCTTATAATCTGAGGTTTCACATTTAGGTTCTTGATCCATTTGGAGTTGATTTTTGTATATGGTGATAGGTAAGGGTCCAGTTTCATTCTTTTGCATGTGGCTAGCTGGTTTTCCCAACAGCGTTTGCTAAATATGATCTCCTTTCCCCAGTGATTGTTACTAATGACTTTATCGAAGATGAGTTGGTTGAAGGACTATATTTTTACTTCTGGAATCTCTGCCCTGTTCTATGTGCCTGTTTGTGTGCCAATACCATGCTGTCCTGGTTATGGAAATGGAGTTTAAAGTCTAGAAGTTTTAGACTTGGACTTTCTTTCTTTCTGTCTTCTTTTTTTAGTAAATCTGGCCAGGAGTTTGTCAATCTTTTTTTTGAGTTGGAGTCTCCATCACCGAGTCTGGAGTGCAGTGGCATGCTCACGGTCACTGCAGCCTTGACCTGTGGAGCTCAGGTGATCCTTCCATCTGGTGATCCTTCCATCTTAGCCTTCCAAGTAGCTGGGACTACAGGCATGCGCCACCATGGCCAGCTGATTTTTTTATTTATTGCAGAGATGAGGTCTCACCAAGTTGCCCAGGCTGATCCCGAACCCAGGGGCTCAGGCAATCCTCTCACTTCGACCTCCAAAAGTGCAGGGATTATCAACGTGAGCCACCACACCTGGCCTGGATTTGTTGATCTTATTTATCCTTTTAAAGAATCAGCTTTTTGTCTTGTTGATCCTATAATATTTTTGTCTTCTATATCCTACAATTGTGACTTTATCTTAGTAATCTGGATTTTTCTACTGAAATTAGGATTTAGATTATTTTGCCTTTCCAGCTCCTTTAGGTGTCACATTAGGCTCTTTATTTATGATCTTTCTATTTTCTTGATGTGTGTGTGCAATATTGTGAATTTCTTCTCATCATTGATTTCATGGCATTCCAGAGATTTTGATGAGATGTGTCTTTGTTTTCATTAAGGGATCTTTTTATTTCGGTCTTGATTTCTGTGTTGACCCAGAAGTCATTCAGCAGCATGTTGTTTAGGTCCATGTCTTTGTGTGTTTTGGGGGAATCTTGTTGGTGGCAATATTTATTTTTATTCCACTGTGATCTAAGAGGATACATGTTATTATTTCAACCTTTTGAAATGTGTTTACACTTGATTTATGTCTGAGAATGTGATAGTCTTGGCGTATGTTCCATGTACTGTTGAGTAGGATGTATACTTTATAGTTGTTGGGTGGAGTGTTCTGTAGATATCTATTAAATCCATTTGGTCAAGTGTCAAGTTACATTTCCAGATCTCCTTGTTGATTTTTTTGCCTCTGATCTATCTAGAGCTGTTAGTGGGGTATTGAAGTCTCTAACTATGAGCCTGTGAGTGTCTGTGTCCTCTGTTAGTTTACTTAGCAGTTGTTTAACCTGGTGCTCCTATGTTGGGCGCATATATGTTTAAGATGGATAGTTATTGCTGTGGATTGAGCCTTTTATCATTATGTAGTGTTCTTCCATGTCCTTTTTTACTTTTGATGGTTTGACATGTGCTTTGTCTGAATAGCTACCCCTGCTCTTTGCTGCTTTTCATTTGCCTGGAAGGTCATTTTCCAGCCTTTTACTTTGAGCCTGTGGGTGTCCTTTGCAGTGAGATGGGTATCCTGCAGGCATCAGAATATTGGATCATGTTTTTTTAATCCAGTTTACCACTCTAGGCCTCTTCAGTGACTCATTCAGTCCATTCATGTTCAAATTAGTTATTAAAATGTGAGAGTTTATCCCTGTCATAGGGCTCTCAGGGGGTTGCTTTGCTTCCCTTTTACGTGTGTGTGTGTGTGTGTGTGTGTGTGTGTGTGTGTGTGTTCATTTTTGTGAATGATCTGTATGCTCTGTTAACTCTGTGCTTGCCTGTACTTTTGTGATGGTTATAACTGACTTGTTTCTGTGTTGAACACCTTTTTAAGCATTTTCTGAAAGACTGGTCTGGAGGTGGCATATTCTCTTAGGGATTGGATGTCTAGGAATGATTTTAATTCTCTGTCACTGATGAAGCTTAGCTTAGCAGGGTAGGAAATTCTTGGCTGGAATTGCTTATGTAGCAGCTTTTACTTCCGCTGATTTGATACAGAATCTCATTTTGGAGGAGATATGTAGTCACTTGGTTAGTGCCTGTTTGGCCCTGTGTTGATTCTTTCCACTGTATTCACTCAGTGATGATCTCCCAATTCCTAGGTGGAAATTTTCTTTCCCAGGAAGTGCCTGACAGATCATCTGGGTAGCAGTTGGCTCCTTTGTGTCAGCCCCAGGGCCTTGCTACAGTATATTCATGTAAATGATCACCCATGGGATGACATCTATAAAGCAGGCTCACCCATGCAGAATAGGAGCATAAGGTTCCTTCCATGGGCCGTAGCAGCTGCCCTTGTCAGAGACTAGGGCCCACAGCCTCTCCCCTGTCTCTGGCCCCTGAGATCAGGTCAAAAGAGATTGTAGGCCAGGTGTGGTGGCTCATGCCTATAATCCTAGCACTTTGGGAGGCCGAGGTGAGAGGATTGCCTGAGCCACCGGGTTTGAGACCAACCTGAGCAACTTGGTGAGACCTCATCTCTACAGTAAATCACAAAATTAGCTGAGTGTGATGGCATGCATCTGTAGTTCTAGCTACTTAGAAGACAGAGGTAGAAGGATCACCTGAGCCCATTAGGTCGATCACAGCTGCAGTGGCTGTGAGTGTGCTACTGCACTCTAGCCTGGTTGACAGAGTGAGACACCAACTCAAAAAAAAAACAAAAAAAGAAGAGGCTACAGACTCTCTGCCCTCAAGCCAGGGCCACAGAGTGGAGGGACCAGAGACATGGGCTGCTTGGAACAACTCTGTGTCCCCACACAAGCAGTTTTCCTTCTAGCTCCTAGCCTAAAACTCTGAACTGAAGGAGCATATCTGCACCTGGCTGCCAACAGGAACTGGAGGGCAGCATTCTCCCAAGTGGAACACTTCTTCAAACATGACCCTCTGTCCTAGCTGTTTCCTTCCATAATGGTATGAGAGGGTGGCTAGAAGCACTTGCAAATGCAGACTCCAAGTCCATGGATCTTGGCTGGGGCTCAGGAGTCTGCCCTTTCACAAGCACTCTATATCTCTTTTTAAAGGGTATGGAGGAGAGGTTGGGAAGTCCTGTTGTATCCAGGAGTGCACACCCTTCAGTGCTGTGGGGCTGGGTGCGTACTCTCTCCGTTGCCGTGGGCTGGGTGCTAGTAAATGTCCTCTTCAGTGCTGTGGAGCTGTGTGTTGAGTACTAGGTGAATCTAACTATGTTAGATGCAGCCAGGGAAAGGTAGATTAAAAAGGACCCAGGAGTTGACAAAAGGTGACCTGAGTCCAGCACTGTGCTTTACTTGGTGTGTCTTTTTGAGGAATTCCTAGGCCTCTGTACTACCTCATTGTTACCAGCTATGAAATGTGACAGCAGTTCTGTGTCTCAGGGTAGTTGAGAGCAATACAAATTTGCAGACATATCAGCAGAGCTTTGTACAGGAAAAATCATGAGCCCTGGGCAGGTTTCAGCCCTGCACCTAGGGCCAGCCTGGTTTTGTGGTCTTATTACAGATGGAAGGCCGGCGCGACAGCATGCTGGAGACAGCCAAGCACTGTTTCACATCAGCAGCCCGCTGTGAGGGTGATGGCGACGAGGAGGAGTGGCTTATCCACTACATGCTGGGCAAGGTTGCTGAGAAGCAGCAGCAGCCGCCTGCTGTTTACCTGCTGCACTACAGACAAGCCAGCCACTACCTGCACGAGGAGGCTGCCCGCTACCCCAAGAAGATCCACTACCACAACCCACCCGAGCTGGCCATGGAGGCCCTGGAGGTGATGCCATGCTGGCCCAGGGCGGGGAAGCAGGGCAAGGGCAGGTTGGTTCTGTCTCCCCGGGGATGGGGCTGGCAGTCCTAGTGACTCCCCTGCAGCCCGCTGGAAACTTCTTAGCATTTAGCAACTTTGTGTGCAACTAAATTAAAACAACCCTTTCTATCCTTTTTAAGGGATGCTTATCAACCTTTCTGAAGAGTGAGCATTTTGTTCTTATCCCAGAAGAAAATCGTCTCTCCCCATGAATACACAGAGGTTCTAAGAACCTGGCCTTCATGTTGACAGTGCAATGCAGCGTCTTCCTATCCTGAAGCCTGGTGGGAGGCGGTGGGGGCAGCCGCCCTTGTCCCCTGGGTACAATTGAGGTATCTGAGGCCCAGCCTGTGCCTTGGCTACCTGGCTTGGCAGAGCTGAGTGAAGCTTCCCAAGGCCTTAAGCACATTAACTTTGCCTTTTCTGAGACTGTGTCCCCAGCCTGTACCAGTCCTACATGCCTAGCAAGTTTTTGGGAGTTTGGACAGAATCTGCTAGTAGCTTATCATTTTTCTGCCTTTATGAATTTTTTTTCTGATTATAAAAGTAGTATGTATTCATGATGTTTTTTATTTTTTTTAATTATTTTTGGATTCGGAGTCTCACTGTTGCCCAGGCTGGAATGCAGTGGCATGCTCATGACCACCACATCCTCTAATGGCTGGGCTCAGGCAATCTTTCCACTCCAGCCTTCCAAGTAGTCGGAACTACAGGTGTGCACCACCATGCCCAGCTAATTTTTTTTTAAATTGTAGAGACAAGGTCTCGCCAAGTTGCCTAGGCTGGTCTTGAACCCTGGGCTCAGGCAGTCCTCTTGCCTTGGCCTCCCAGAGTGCTGGGATCACAGGCATGAGCCACCATAATATTTTTTAAAGAAGAGATTCAAACAATTCCAAAGTATATAAAATATGATCGTCCCTAATGATCATCCCGTAATCCCTAAGAGTTTGTGTCTGTCCAGATTTTTTCCTATTACCATACAGATTTGTAGTAACATTTTCTTATGATTTTGCAGCTTGCCTTTTTGTTGGACAAAATGTAGTAGAAGGTGTGGTGAGCTTCTCTGCCTGTCTTAGTGCTCTTTCATTTGGTGGGGCATTTATTTATCTACACAGCCCCTTCTTGCTGGGTTTGGTCTCTCTACTTCCTGCCATGGCAGGGTACAGGCAGTGCACATTAGCACTTGTGTCAGTGAGTGCTTAACGAGTATTTCCAAAGACTACTGCCCAGAGGTGGAGTTGCTGTGTCCTTTAATATTTTTGTTAAGTCAGCAATGTCTGGTTGTGCTGAAGGATTGTACTGATTGATGAGTACGTCTGTTTTCCCTCATCGCTAGGACCTCTTTTTAATATTTGCTAATCTTCTGAGCAAACAAAAAAAGTCTCTTTTTTTTTTTTTTTGAGTTGGAGTCTCACTCCATCGCCCAGGTTGGAGTGCAGTGGCATGCTCATGGTCACCCCAGCATCAACCTGCTGGGCTCCAGCGATCCTTCTACCTCAGCCTTCCAAGTAGCCGGAACTACAGGCATGCACTACCACACCCGGCTAATTTTTTTATTTATTGTAGAGATGAGGTCTCGCCAAGTTGCCCAGGCTGGTCTCAAACCCATGGTCTCAGACAATCCACTCCCTCGGCCTCCCAAAGTGCTAGGATTGCAGGCTGAGCCCCCGAGCCCAGCCAAAAAGTCTCTTTTATAAAATTTGCCTTTTTAAAATGATTCATACTGAGTGGTTTATAGCTGCTGTTTTAGGGCCACAGCATTCACAGCCCCAGGTCTTAGGTTCATCCTCCATCACAGTGCTTTCATGCTATCCACTCTGGGTCATGTGCCTTAGAGGAAGTCCACTTTGGGGATGAGAAGACTGAGGCCTAGCCAAGTGGTATGACTTGTCCTAAGTCACTAGCAGAAGAGGAGGGGAGCTGGGCCAGATCTCACATGGCACCTCCAGGCAGCATTAAACCTGCGTGTGGTGGGAGGTGGCCCAGCCCTCAGGAAGGTGATATCAACTCTGTTTTTCCTCCATGGTGTTTGAGTTTTTGGCCTCTGCTACTGCGTGATGGAACCAATGAGCAGACAGGATGGTAGGCCCAGGGGCCCCAGGGGCTTCCAGATGAGGAACCGAGGTCTCAGATGTGTGGCCCACCCTTCCTTACTATACTGCACTGGCTCAAAGGAGAGCAAGTACACAAGATTAATTTCAAGGGCATCCCATTTCATGAGCCAACACAGCTATGTAACTTTGAATCTACTGGTATATGTATATATCTTATTTTACATATGACATTCCTCTGAATAATTTAACCCTCTCCTGCTGTTGAGCCTTCATTCATATACTTTACCTACTACTTAGATGAACTCTATCAGTTGAACTTGTTGCCCTCCCCTCAAGTTTGGCCACCTGGGCATGCATGGGTGCCTTGGGCGATCTCCTGCATCTAAAAATGGAGTTTTTGGACCAATTTCTGTGGGATCCATGGGTGAGCTAGAGGTGGAGGAGTTTGGGATGTGAGCCCCCTCTGTCCAATATTCACCCTTGGGAATGCTGCCAACAAGTATCTCACCTGAATGAGAACTACCTCTGGGGAGAGGCAGGCCGGTTAGTCAGGGCCCATGGCTCTAGCAGTTTTCAACCCTCATGGCACCCATTGTGCCCTCCATGGGAGCTTTCTTACAGATGGGAGCCTGCCTCACACCCACACTTGGGCAGGAAGGTCAACTCAAGTCACCTGTAGAGGTGTCTGCATGTGGTATAGCATGTACTTGGGGGCAGTAGAGGACAGGAGAAGGACAGAACTGAGTTTAAACTGGCCTGGGCTTTCCTGGCTGTGGGGCCTTTGGTAACTCTCCACCCATTTATAAACTGAGGTATGGGTAAGGACTCAAGGAAATGGAGGAGAGCACAGGACCTGGCCAGTGTAGTGTGCTATCTGCTTACCTGCCCTGCACCCACGTAGCAGAGGTTCTTGAGGTCTATAGGTGCCTGACTCTGCCCAGGGACTGGGTTACAAACAGAAATCCAACTTGATCCCCACTTCAGGCAGTGCACAGTCCAGTGGAGAGACAGATATGGAGGTTCCCTTTCTGTGGGTACTAGGAGAAGGGCACCAAAAGTGTGGTGGTGCCATGGCGGGAGGTAGCACCCAGTGAACAGAGCTGAGGTGGTTGTTGCTCTCATCTTACCATCATGTGCCAGGGTTTCTGGGTGAACATTTAAGCTGGAATGCTGATGGTATCCATTTTAATTTTCAGAGTTTGTTTTGAATTAGTTACAGGTTGGCTGGTTCAAAAGCTTACAAAAACAGGCAGTGTGTAGTGGCCTGTTGCCCCAATCAAGGGCCCATTTCCAGTGTGGCTGACTGGCCTGTGGAACGAATCTTAGCAAATGGAAAGGCTGCTCACACCGGAGGTGTCATTCTCCTAGGTGTACTTCCGGCTCCATGCCTCCATCCTGAAACTCCTGGGGAAACCTGATTCTGGGGTTGCTGCAGAGGTCCTGGTTAACTTCATGAAGGAGGCTGCAGAAGGACCCTTTGCCAGGGGCGAGGAGAAGAACACGCCCAAAGCTTCAGAAAAGTGAGTAGCACACTTATAATGACCCCTAGCTACTTACCCCACCTGCACCCTAGGCGGCTCATTCACAGCAATTTGGTGTTCAGAGGGCTGCTATGGATTCACCTGGAACTCATGGAGTCTCTGGAACCCATGTGGAATCTCCCGATTGCTGGACCAGGGTATTTCTGTTAAATCTGAGAAGGAGGTGGCGGTGTGTGTTATCTCCTCACCTTGTGTCCGTGCCTGATGTTGCCCCAGGGGCAAGTCCTGGGGAAAGGCTGATGCCTTCCCCCCTCTCCACTGGGACACAGCTGTGCTCTGTACAGAATACTGTAGAAAACTAGTTTTCACTTTGCAGACTCTTGCCCCTGAGTCCTTTTCAAGGACCTCTCCCAAAAGTGAGGCCCCTCTGAAAGCTGCCCTTTCTCCTAAGGAGCAGTGAGAGGCATGGGAATCATGGATGCCTCCTGTGATGTCAGAAAACTCAGGGAAGCTGGGGCCCTAATGTGATCCCCTCAGTTGACCCACACTGACCCCTACCCTCCTCTTGGCTGTGAGTCATTGCTGCAGCCCAGGCTTCTTTTCACTCTGGTGCCCAAATCCTGGTCCTTTGGCTCCACTTGCCCTGTCTCTGGGGCCCCTCCCTGGTTGAGCACTGTGCAGAACTCAGCTGAGTGCCAGAGACCTGCACCCAGGACCTGTCCTTCAGGGCTGTCTGCTCACAGCCACAGATAATCTATGTGATGTGTGCCACCTGCGAAGAGTGTTCAGCTCTGTAGAGGCTGTGCCCATCTGCTTATGGGAGAGACAGGCTCATGCATGACAGGTCGCTCAGGTGGGCACAGTGTGCTCAGAAGTTACAGATTTTTATTTGTTAGTCATAAAGGGCCCCAGGTTACAATTATGTTGTCTTTCGTTTATCCTAATTCTGTTTAAAAATTTTTTCTAAATTTTTACATGCAAATAATATGTGAATGTATTCTATTATAGAAAATTCAGGCAGTATATAAACAAATAAATTAAGATGTGACAGATTCCCTCCTTCCCAGAGTTAGCTCCCGTGCAGTTTAATTTTTCCTATTGTGTTCTAAGCATTTATATACACTTGTGTGCATACATACAGTACATACAGTTGTAGAGATCTTTTATTTTGTAGAAATAAACTACTGAAGGTGGTGTCCTAGGGTTTTTCCCCTGACGGTGGGTCTGAGCCTAGTTCATAGAGACAGTACCCTATTCACCCCATTTGTTTCTAGCAGCAGATAGTCTTGTCCATGTGTGAGTGTGCAATAAGACCTATGCTACTGTCTGCCCATTTGTCAGGGGTTATATCTGTCAGGCTCTCACACAGAAGGGTATGGTTGGCGTGGAAGGGAAGGATGCTGGGGTGCTTCTAGGAGAGGCTTATCAGCTCCCCTGTGGAGCCTCCTAGGACCTGAGATCCAGCGATGCAGGCAGAGCCCTGCTAGAAAAGTCAGGCAGTGTCTAGTTAGGGACCAGAGCCTCTGTAGATGCTTGTGGGCAGTTCTGGGCTTTGTGACACCAGCTGGATAAGAGCAGCGGGTCCTCTGAAAGGCACTGACCCACTCTGGCACACGTCCATTTTAGTGCAACATGGATGCTGAGCTGTGCCCCAACCCTCTGTCCCCACAGGGAGAAGGCCTGCCTGGTGGATGAGGACTCCCACTCTTCAGCTGGGACACTGCCGGGCCCCGGAACCTCCCTCCCTTCCTCCTCTGGCCCAGGTCTGACATCCCCACCTTACACAGCCACTCCGATTGACCACGATTACGTCAAATGTAAAAAACCCCACCAGCAGGCGACGCCGGACGGTACAGTCCCTGTTCTCCCTACTGCCAGCCCAGGGCGGCACACCAATCATGGGGAGGGTGCCCAGGCGACTTGGATTTGTCACTTTGTTTTGGTGAGGGGGGGTTCCGGGTCTGGGGTGACACGGGCAATGTTGCGGCTGCTCATTAACCTCATGGACTCACGGTGATTCTCGTGCTTCCAAGACATGCTCAGCGTCGCCACCTGCCAACTTACCCACCTGGGAGCCAGGGGAGGGGAAGGCTGGACTAAGGCAACTGGTCTCTTTGAGCCTGCGTTTTCCTACCTCCAGAATGGAGACATTGGTGTCTACTTTGAAGGGCAGATGGAAGACCATGGTCTCCTGGTTAGCTCCTGGCAAGGTCAGCTCAGTGATGCCTGCATTGTTCAACAGCACATCGTTGCTGCTCTGTCCTGATGGTTGTGGGAAAGTTGTGACTAGTGCTAAGTCTATCATCTCTGGGAATCCAGATAGGCTGTTGATGGGGGCCACCCAGAACCCTGTGTGTGGCCATCCCATGTGGGATGGGGCAGGTGGCGACTGTTCAACCACATTCCTCACTAACATTAGGAGGCTTGCATGCTGGCCTGTAGCTTGACTTCTCCGTGTTCTCATTTTTACAGTGAAAAGCTGGTGACAAAATCCCTGCTGGGATGAGCCAATTGGTGGACCCAGAGGGTCGTTCAAGTGAAGGCCTGGGGAGGTAGTAGCAATGCTGCAAGACACCTGGGTCCTCACTCCCATGCACTCATCCCATCTTGGCTTGGGGAAATGGGCCTTGCTCTGCCTTCCCCAGGTTGAGAGGATGTCTCTAGGTGGGTAGGATTGGCCCCAGGGCTGTGCCTCCTGCCAGATGGCCTTTAGAGATTGGGTCTTTGGAGGAAGAATGGGCCCTCTGGGGCACCATGGTAGCCTTGAAGTGAGTGAGGCTCAGCACAGGGCTGGGTGGAAGGGGGTTGGGGGTCCTATCACCTTTACTCTAGCACCCCACAGAGGCCCCACCTAGTGTTTGGGTTCCTGGAGAGCAATAGCATCCACCTGCAGCTTCCTGAGCTGAGTGGGCAGGACTTGAGAGCAGGTTTAGAGGTGCTCTGGAGAAGGATGACAAGGTGGCCAGTACTCAGCTTCTCTGAGAGGACAGGAGACTTGTAGTGTCCCCTCCTGGGTTTAGTTTGGATCTATAGTATGCGTGTTGAGAGAGAGAGACTGAGGATCTGTGTGTGCTGTGTATCTCCATCACTTCCCAGTAGATTTGTGTCATTACCCCTATTCCCAGCATTGGCGTCTCCATGCCAGCCCAAGTGTTAAGCAGAGACTAGAAGAGCTGACACGCGTGCTCTTCCAGTTTTGAGTTCTGCAGACATGCCATGAGTAAGAAGTTCCTTTTTCTCCTTCTTAGGCAACTCAAGTTAATCAGGGAAACCACTCAGTTCCCAGCCTTTCACTCTTGAGAATATTGAAAAAGCATATTAGCCTGGCACAGTGACTCATGCCTATAATCCCAGCTCTTTGGGAGGATGAGGTGAGAGGATTGCCTGAGCCCACAGGTTCAAGACCAGCCTGGGCAACTTGGCAAGACCTCATCTCTACAATAAATCAAAAAAGAAAAAGCACATTAGCAGCAAATCCCTGTCTGAGGATTTGTTTCTGCCAGGTACTTTCTGTGAGAAAGCACTGTGTCAAAATGTTCAGGAGAGGACTGCCCTTCACAATTGTCCATATGCTGTGTTGCTCTGCTTATGTACACCTGGGCTGGGGAGCACCAATGTGGTCCTCCACAGCCCTGCAAGCTCCCGCCAAGCTTAGGCTACAGATGCCACCATGCTTGGCTGTTATCCCAAAGGGCTGAAGAAAGAGGCAGGACTGCCTCAGAAAGGTAGTCCTGGTACCACTGGCACCATCTGTCTCATTTTGACACATGGATATGCATGATGCTATAAGGGAGCCCCTATAGAGCGTTTAGGGTAGACACTGCACATGACAGGTCGTGGGTACCAACATACTAGTTATTTGTTCCAGAAGTTTGCAGAGGGACTCATACAAATAAGCTCAAATATAGTTTCAACAAATATTTCTTTAAAAAAAAAAAGTTTTGGCCCGGTGCAGTGGCTCAAGCCTGTAATCCCAGCACTTTGGGAGGCCAAGGTGAAAAGATTGCCTGAGCTCAGGGGTTTAAGACCAGCCTGGTCAACTTGGTGAGACCTTGTCTCTACAATAAATCAAAAAAAATTAGCCAGGCATGGTAGCGTGCCACTTGTAGTTTCAGCTTCTTAGCAGGCTGAGGCAGAAGGATCACCTGAGCCCAGCAGATCAAGGCTGTGGTGGCCATGAGTATGCCACTGCACTCCAGCCTAGGTGACAGAATGAGTCCTCAACTCAAAAAAAAAAAAAGTTTTTTCAAAGTGTTCCTGTCAGTGATGCAGAACTGTTGAGATCCCCTGTGCCCAGTCCCAGCCCTGTACTGACCATACTGTGTGCTCTGCTAAGGCCTGGCTGCACTATGCTGTCAGAACTCACCCTCCATACCTCTCAGAGAAAGCAGTGTCTGCAGCATGGAAATGGTTGGGGCCCTAAAATAGCCATGAACTGAGAACGTTCAAGTGACCCTCTCAGCAACTACACTAGTTTCTAGGGGAAGGTCCAGGCTCCAACAGAAGCAGCAGATTGCTGGCATCAGAGGATGTGTTGGTGGCTTCAAGGGGTCACACTGCCCACCTCTACCCCTACTTCCAGACCAGACCTTTGGAGGAGAACAGGTGGCTCCCACTTTCTGCTCAATTTCTTGGCCTGAGACCAGCCTCGGGTCTCCTGTGGGAGGATAGGGCATAGTACTCATTGTGGGCCATTGCCGAGCTCTCCTACTCAAGGAGGGTGATGGGTGCTTTTAGCACCCACCTGAGGAGAAGCACATGTAGAGAGGTCAGGGACCCATGTGTGGTCAGACAGGGAAGCAAGGACACAGCAGTTGCTGGAGTCAGAGGGATCTGAGTTCCAATCCTGGCTACTGCTTATGTGCTCAGCACCCTTTACAAGGGATTTCACTTCTTGGATCTTGTTGCCTCACCTGTGGCATGAGATAATATCTTCCTCATCTGTGTTAAACAAAAGTGCTAGCACATTGTACCCTCCTCCTAGATGCAGTTCTCCAGGTCATTGGTGGAATTGGGACCAGAACTAGAGAGCCACCCAGCCTCTGAGGCCAGTCACGCTCAGTTTGTACCCCACCTCTCACTAGCCAGAGGTGTGGTCTCTGAAGAGGGGCGGGCAGTGTCCTCTGAAGCAGCAGCCCCTGAGTGGGCCTGGGCTCCAGGCTTTCTGGGTGCCAGACTCCAGCCCTACAGAGCCTATCATAGGCTAATTAATTTGCCACCAGCAGGAGAGGGAGCCAGGCATCAGGACTTCCCTCAGGAGTGTTAGGAGACCTGCATTAGAGCCACCTCTCCACATTAGTATGCCTTTGCTCTAAACCCAGAAATCAGCTGGAGTCCATTCTGATTTGGTACAGGTTTAGAAAATATTTAGAAAATAGCTCCAGGTATATGTAGATAGCTTGACATTTGATAATAGCTGCTTCCTGGGATCCAAATTTGCTTTCTTGAACTGCCCTCACCTGTAACCTCCACCACAGCTGGCGTCAAAGCCAGCCCTTATCGAAGTGGCCAGCTGACCTGAGGAGGAGCCCTCTGGCTAAACTGATAGTGAGCTCTGCCCAGTTATCCTCCACACCTGACTAATTGTTCCCTTCCATTGATCTTTGGAATTTGCCTGCAGGGCTAAAATTGTAGTGTTGAAACTTTCTGATCAGGAAAAGAAAGTGAGGTGAGGGGCATGTTGTGACCTTTAGGAGCTCCCAATGCTTTATACATGCTCAGACAACATAAGGAAATTTTTAAACAAAACCACCACTCTTCCCCACTTGCAGTGTTGGTATGCATTTATATGTGTGGCTGTGTGTGCATGTGTGTAATCAGGCCCCTCTATGCAGTACTGCCTGCACATTGTGTGCCAGACTCCAGGCGGGTACCTGCGGGATAGTGGCATGTCTCTGTCTTCACAGTCACCCTATAGGCTTGGCCATGTCCTTGTTACTCAGAGAAGGTGAACTGAGGGTAGGTAAGAACTCATCCAAGGCTGCCCATATAGTTGGGATGGAGTTGAGAGAGATCAGGTCTGAGTCTCCCTCCAGCCCTGGCCAGGGGGTCAAACTAATGTTATGAAGGCCCTGTACCTGGCCAGCCTGACAGAGACTGCCTCTATGTGTGTTTCCCTCCTCACTGGAGGTGCCCCAGTGAAGGGTCCAGGGAGCAGGACCATTACTGAATGGCTTGGTCCATCTCTTACCTGGTTTAGCAGGCCTTTGGGATGTGTCTACCGTAGCTGTGTTGGACTAAGACCCTCACTGTTGTACTTCTTGTCACCTCAGAAGCCGGAGCCAGAGGGGCTTCAGAGGTCTGAGGCCTTGCCCTGTGGTTAGTCTGAGCCTTGAGTCTTTGGCCAGTTCATGGTCATGCCTATCCAGGTGTTCTGTCAGCCTTGTGCCAGATGTACAGGGCAGCCCGAGGCCCTGCTTTAGACAAGGCTGGTACAAATCAATCTATTACACAGCTGAGGGCTGGGGTGCAGCCAATACCAGCACCAGAGAGATGGAGTTTGTCTATCCCAGAGAGGCCTGACCTGGCCTTTTGGTGGGGTAGGAAGCCTTCCTGAGGTGGCAGAGCTTAGCCAAGATCTGAGGGGTATGTCGGTGTTTTTTGTGAAGGATAAAGGGGGAGAAAGCAGGCAAGGTCAGAAGAGTGGGAGCCTTGGAGGCTGGTATCCATGGTTGCAGACAGTGCCCACCCAGCCCCACTGGCAGCATTTACAGAGTCACTGAAGATCCTCAGAGGCTGCTCTGGGACCCAGATTGTAGAGTGTGGACCTTCCTGGAAATCCCAGGGTGTCCTGTGCTATGCCCCCTCATGGCCATCTATCCTCACCCACCATGCTGTCACCATCTGTGTC